TATTTATATTCCCAGTATGTGTATACATACATATATCATATATGTTTATTATTTGATAAAAACGAACCACACTGTTTTAAATATTACATTTTTAATTCTCCATAGGAAAGCGTAAATGAAAATCTTTTGTATTTGACCGGCTCAAATGCATTCATATTGTGTTTTAAACATGTATACTGTTTTATATTTTGCAAGGACATTATTCCTTGAGTTGTTTCAGAATATTTTGTCGTTTGATTATTTTTAGTAAACCGCTTTGTTACGAAGATATAGGGCGATAGATGTTTTCTGACAGTAACAATATTTTATTATCTAAATATTACATGTACAGTTTTTTAATATAAAAGGACTGTTAAAAATTATTACCACAGCTGGGATGCATGCTTCCAATCTTCTCATCATTGACTGTTAAACGCATTTAAAAACGGTTTCCTGAATTATACCATGCGATTATTCGATTTCTCAAATCAAATATATTTTCCACTGGAGTAATGTAAAATAATTACTGAAGATGGCCCCACAGGTAACTATCCACCTATCCAGGAGGTTCTAGTCCGGAGATCTAACAAGTAGCTTTCTAAAAATCATGAAATGACAAATTGAAATAAAAATTAAATCAACGATAAACCAAATTTTTTCAACTCTAAAATTTAATTATAATAGAAAAGTNACTAAAACAGCTTGGGACTACACAATTGGGTATTATTTGTATACTTTTCTATTTAGTACAAATGTTATCAAGAGCTAATAACTTCGTCAGTTATTAATACGTGTCAACATTTCTACATATTTTTTGTTCTCACAAATCACCCATATAGTAAATATATTTTATACAGTTTAGCTCTAATTGTACTTGTTTTTTTTTATTTAGCTATTGTTATTTCAAATCATCGGTTATGTAAAATTATTACCGTTTATTTTTTTTTAAGGCGTTGCTTTAGGAGATTTGCAATGCTCGGTGCTAGGTACCATCGAAAGCCCTTACGATGCAGTTTTAAATATATCAACGTCTGCTCAGTTAGCTTTTGTAGTAGACGACTTCCAACCAAAGGCTAGTGATTCTTTACATCCATCTCCGATGGAATATTTCCCTTATTTTGAAGATAAATATATAGCTGTGGCTGCATCCTTGAATGGAGGAAATGCATTAGCTGCATTTGTTCGTATGTTACAGCAGTGGACCATGGAACTAGGATTTTCCGTGCCGCAATGTAAGTTTTGTGAATATAAATGTAAATAATTTAAATTTACTCTCAACATAATAAACATTTTTGTTATTACTTTTTAAGTACTAAGTTTACTTTTTTTTTTAATTACTAAGTTTTGTTTTTTTTTCTTATCAAATTGAATTCTTTGAACATTTTCTGATGATAAATAAGTAAAAATGAACAAGTAGATGGGAATAAATTTTTTTTTCTTTAATTTACAATTTCATACAATTACATTAATTCATACAAGTTGAGAAGGTAATTTTGTTTTTTCTATGAATAAACAAATAAATATTAAAAAAATTAATACTTTCCATTTTGTTTTACTTTTTGTAATCACAGTTCAATGCCATAATTTTAAAGTATGAAGATTGAAAAAGTAATTTTGATTATAAACAAAATTAAATTTGGCTCTGAATTTTGATTTTTTTAATATTTTTTACACAGCATTTATTACAATTAAAAGGTTCATCTGCCAATAAGTTTAATATAGTTTAGTTAATTGTGTGATTGTTGGTACTTATTAGATTAAGACAATAGGAATATGTGGCCAAATGCACGGTGTAATGCTTTGGAACAACGAGGGCGAAGGTGCCTGGGAAAGAATTGAAAGAGATGGGACATTGACACGCTATGACGTAGTTCAAGACAAAGTATCAGCACTATACACTTGGCAAGATAATAGGTGTGACTCGGATTTTTTGAGTTCTCTTCCCAAATCAAATTCACACTTTCCTCTGTGTTCCGGTTATGGTACTGCAACGTTATTCTGGATGGCAAAGCATAAGTAAGAAAAAAAAATTAATAACTATTTTTAACACAAAAAAATGTTCTTTATTTAATATAATATAAATTGTTATAATTTTAAGACTAGATACTACAGTATACCCAAACCATTTCCAGG